ATCGAGACCCTCTCCTGGCCGCCGAAGGCGGAACTTTAGATGATGTACGCGAATAGAGGATGATGTAGAAACCGAAATACCAGCTTGTATTAGAAGAAAAATAGGAAATAAATGAATGTCGAAATGAAATTACTCTGTATAAATGGAAATAATATATAGTTAAAAGGTGGTAAATATAAAAAAATTTGCCGTAAAAGGCCGTCAACAATGTGCAGAAGTGTGTAAAGGCATCACCAGTAGGTGTTCGAGAACATCCGTATTTGAAATACCTCCATTAAATTTGATAAAGAGCCTGATTTCGCTTGCAATTTCACCAAACTGTGTTTTTTAATCTAGGATGTATTGCAAGATTGATTTCATATAGATCTCACAAACAACCTCAGCAGAATTATGAACCCGATCGTGTATATCAAAATACAACGCGGTTTAGAAGCTAATTAGTGTTTTTCAGGCAAATCCAAATTACCCACATAATAAAAAAGGTATAGGACAGAAGTCTGTTAAAATTGACAACATTAGGTTATTTAAGCCTTCGAAGGCGCATGATGAAGGAAAATATTTCACTATTGCAATAAATTTCACAGTCGTATGCCTATTTAAGCTAAAATAGCCGAAGCAGAACCATATATGAATCTTGATTAAGAGTGATGGTCGCCCAACTTTTAAGTATGGTACGGCGGTTCGCTAGTAAGATATATAAGATCGACAGTGTATTCCATATCCTTACTTTTAACGCATAATAGAGCGAAATTCTAGGTTATCATGAATATATCAGCGAGCTATAACTATCTTGGTGCTAATATTCGCAAGACTCACTGAGGATGCAGGCGAAATTTCTGGGAATGCGCCAAGTTCATGGTCCGATGATGGTAATTGTGATAAATAATATAGCCAAGGACTTCGGACAAAGTGCTTCCAACTAAATCGTCCTGGCAAGAGGACCAAGTTGCGAAAAAGAGGTCAAACCACTTACATACAAAAAAGGAGATGGCGGCCAAAACATAGACCATAACATCTTGGACTTAATATCTACTATAGAACTAAGTTAAATTAGGTTAGGAAGATGTCTGTTCGCTAGTTTTAGCTTTTAATATTACAATATTTCACACACATACACAATAGTATATCACGAAAAAGTATTACAGGAAAAAGTAAAATTAAATTCAGTTTAAAAGTGCATCAGAAGCCGGTTTCACGGGGAAAGCTTAGCTATCAGAAAGTCAGTGACCTCATATGACTATTATACTCATATGAGATACGAAATGCAAGTACATGCAAACGAACACAAAAACCTAGATAAAACTTACTTGAATCAGAGGTACTTCCATCAGTCGATTCACCGCCTGTACCCATGCGCATTATTATATCATTAAAAGCCGACTTGTTATCCAGATCTGTCTTTGCCACCACCAAAGGAGCTCCTGGCTCTTGGAGCTCGCTGTTTATGAGTGGGTCGACAGACGACTTAGAAATAGGCCGGACCAAGTGATGGCGCATCAAGAGTCTAGTACTGACTGGGCTAGAAATGGCTGGCGAATCGTCTGATCTGTTTGGCGGAAGCGAGCCAACATTCATCGAAACGAGAGTCAGAGTGGCTGAATGAATAGATGAAGGCGAGCCCCGACCACAACGGCACTCTGTAGAGGGTCAAGGAAAACTACACGTAGTTGAGATGGGTAGGAAATAGTTGGATGAAGGCAAAAGACTCGAGATTGGGCCGGCACAAATCTTGGAACGAGCCCCAGAAAGGAGAGGTAAGTCACTAGCTGATACAGTCGATAAGGAGTGCACCGATTGACTAGAAAAGCGCATAGATCAAGGGAAAATGTTCAGATCAAAAAAAAAATTATTAATTTATCTTTCATAATAAGTATTCTTGGGTAAACTAAGCGCCAGTTATTATTAGAATCTCGGCCTTGTATAGGAAAAACTCTACTTGGCCATTCCACTAAAATAGCGGTGTAAAATTTAATAAAAATTAAGAAGGTAACTATTTCCAAAGACAAAAGAAATTGATTTAACCAATAAAGGTAAGAAATATTTGATCTAAAGAACATTGATCAGTGTAAAGCTTGCGATCTCAAGCAATCTAATCGCACGGCATAATGAATATATATTGGGGATTTAAAGCCAAGATGTAGAAAAGAAGAATTAACTAAAATTTTCTATTTATCGAATTAAGTATTGTTTTCGTGACTACCAGTAATTCAGTAATATGAGATGTATTCACCCAATTTCGTTTAAGGTGATGTAGGACTGGTAGAAGAAGAATTTCCCACAAGGATATGAGTTGAGCTGACGTTTCCATTGAATTTCACATAGCCTTGCTTTCCCAAAAGTT